CTATCTATCTATCTATCTATCGTTCGTTAAAGAGGTTGTGGAGGGTTATAACAATTTGAGCTTTAAATTACTCTAGGGATATGGTTTAAAGACTCAACACAAATAGACAAGCTAGATCACCCACACTTGCACGTCCACACACAAATGAACTGGACTAATTAGCATCTCTCCTCTTATTATGCATCCCTCCCTGTCAGAGATACCTCTGACAAACAGAGGTAAGAGGCAGGGGCCGAGTGTGTTTGTGGCTGTGAGCCTGCCTGGGCCAAGGAGGGACTTCTCATTATGCATCCTTCCCTGAGACAACACTCAGCCTCACCCAAGGCACAGAGTGTCACTGTGATTATACACTACCCTGCATTAATGCGAGCCTAGTGGCGTGAGAAAAAATCGCATGCACCTCTCAAAGCTCGTAACACTCCCACCCCCATCTTTCCTGCCCATTCTCTTCTACCTCATCAGTCTCCCTCCTGCTGCCACCATCTCACCTTCCCCATCCCCCTCACCCTCATCCTCCTCCTCCTTCCATCTCAGTCAATCAATCCTTCATGAAATCACAAGGTGACACGGACAGCGTTGTCCTGGTAACCATTGCTACACAACTGTTGCCTGGTCACAGAGCATAAACAAGCCCGGAGCCCAGCAAGGCCTCTGTGTTGCAGAGAATGAGAGGAAGGTATGAGAGAGAGAGAGGAAATAAAAGCCTGGACGGAGGGTCAGGGTGGAAGGTCAAACGCCGGCTGCCACAGCCCTCCCTCGCTCTAATTTAATAATACCCTTCAAGGTGGCTTCTCAGCCCAGAGCACTGTAACAGAAATGTCAGGCAAATCTATAAATTAATTTACCACATTTGAGATGTAGAGAAATGTTATTTTAACCCATACATGTATAATGTAGGTAGAGGTTATTTATTTAAAATAATGCTCTCCATAATGCCTTTATTACACCATTAAAATGACAATGTTTTTATATGTATTCTGCTATTTCTTCATTCACTCATTATAAAGATTACTCTTAGGGTTGAACACTCTAAAGAATAAAATACATTAGAGCCGGGATTTATAAATAGAGCACTCTAATGAAGTACTTTATCAAGCTTGCATGAGCCTCTGGACGTATTATAATATTTATTATTTAACGGTGGTTCTAGTCCAGTGAGATATGTCAATACGTACTATAGGATCTGACAAAATGATTCATGCAATGTAATTAATCAATTCAACATTCTCCACTAATATCCATTAATTTCCGGTCGAGGGAAAAAATTCAAGTGATTTAACCTCTTTGTACGTTGCATTAATCTTTTCGCATACACAACTGCTTTGCTTAGGGAAAAAGATGCACAAACTGTTGTTTGAGGGAAATTAAATATGATATTTCTATATTTACAGCAGTAAGTACTGTATGTTTCTGGCGAAAAATTACAATAAGCTATGCTAGTAAACTATGATATGTTTACATGGCTTTATTTGGGAAAGTAAATTAAAAACTCATTGATTTCTATAACTGCTTATTTGTCGCGTTTCTCATCACATGTAAGCACGAATTAAGGCTGTGAAAAATATATGAATAGGCACCATGCAGTGTGTCCTTTTTTTCTTTTATGTAACGAGTCCTCTTTCATTACACCAATTCCTGATACCAGATCTTAAATCTGTCGAGAAGAATAAAGGCTGGCTGAAAGGGGAAAAAAAGGTGTTTGTCTGCAAGGAAGGTGTTGTGAGGGAGGTGGAGTAAATTGACTGTTTACAACAACAGACCCAGAGAGGGACCTTGAATGTCCATGACGAGCTCCATTCCCTTTTTCACTTTCAAATCACCTTATCCCTTGCTTTTTTGGAAGCCATCCTAAAAAACCAAGGCCATAATTTCCATCCAATTTGTTCCCCCTCTCTGCATGAGCACTGACAGATTGTCATATTTTGGCCACGCTCCCAGAGGAGAGTTGTGAGAGGCAGGAGGGCAGATAAACGGCTATTACCATTCACACCGGCTCATTACTGAGCATTTAGACCCAGGAGCACCAACCCAAAGGCTCCACGAAGAGGGCGTTCTGTGCCCACCCCAGGAGCCTTGCGCCATGAAACTTGAGATTGACAACTGGTTTATTAATTCTCCTCTAAAAATATTGTATATTTCAAAACATTGATTTTTCTTTTTTCACCTATAGCTTCATAAAGATCATTCTATATGAACACAAGTGCCTGCAGCATAAAGCCCTGAAACGTGCCATTACATTACATATGGCTTCCAATTCATCTGGTTATTTGGACACACAGGGATGAAGTATAAGCCTGTTTTTGCATACACAGCATAACGTGTGCATTACATAAACAGCATAAAAAGGTTTATGCCTACCGTCATGAATCCATCCAGCAGGCCCGAGTCCGGTTTGGGTGGGGCTTGTAGCCGCTCCATTGACCACTTCTCGATGATTGACGACACCTGAGAATTTTCTGTGTTGAGAATGCGGAACCCCGTCATGTTGACTCCACTATAGCGATACGGTTCCATGTCGAGGGCAAAAAGGTCCTGGATACATAAAGAGCAAAGTTTTGAGCTGCATAAATAATTTTTTTCTTTCATCTTTGCTTGTATACCTCTATACTGTGCATCTCTTGTCTATCTTTAATAATTAAAAGTAGTCAGGTGAGTAAAGGAAGTGAGAGCGAGGAGCACAGTTGAAGGTATGGCAGGAGTTATTCTATCTCATGCTGAGGCAGTAGCCTTGATTAAGGCAAGTCTTTCAAGGTTACAGGCAGGCTTTTGGGGGACTGCCATCTATCATGTGGAAGTGAAAGGACAACCCAATTGTCCTGCATACAGCATGTCTGGCATCTCACCAGGCAGATGTCTCTGGGATGCAACAACACAGTTGACAGAGCAACAGCAGGTGATGGACGCAGAATGGGGGTGCCACGGTCAATGTTTGCTGTCCTATTCCGAAAGCAGCATGGATGGCTTAGTACCAGTATACAGCAGCTTTGGCCAGCACAGTGGCTTCCAACCTGCCAAACTCTGGCTGATGTTAAAGTAGGCATGTTTCCACCCTGACAAGCAGCAGCATGCCACTGAAATAGGCCTATAATCACTATTCTCTTTCCTTTCCCAATGACATACCTGCTGTCACTCACTCCCCTTTCATCTAGCCAGGTTCTTATGTGGATACGCAAGGGATACTTACATGTCCTGTGCACTGTAAAATGTTTTTTTCAGGTCAGTTTTCTCCGACCTTTCCCTCAGCCTTTCACAGCATGCCATTTGTTTGTTAGGGCTATAATGGACCAAATGGGTGACAGTCTCATTTGCTCAGGGCTGTTATCTGAGCTCTCAGTCTTCTGTTCTCTGGGCTCAGTGAAGATGTGCTGCTGTTCATCTGGAGCGTAGCAAGTAATCTTTGTAGTGGCTAGATCAAAGAACTTTGCAGAACTTCAATCGCTGCCAGAGTCAGAGTAAAATATATCCAACTACTTTTGTTTCCTATACTCAGGGTTGTGGACAGCCAGGCAGGGTGAAAGGGTTGGTGCGGAATTTGGAAAATAAACCAAAGTTTCACAACTGATACTTTAAAATGCAATGAATATATTTATAATCAACTACCCGACAATGAGTCAGCTTTTCATGGCCATCTATTTCCATCAGCACAAATTCAGATTGTTGCTCAGGTTCCCACAAGCTTTCACACAAACTGAAAATAATAACATGTTTTTCCTCATCTGGTTCCCAGTTGAGTCATATTCAATTTTATTCTCAGAAAATAAAAACTGCTATCAGACACGCAGTCAGATGTATTTTTGCTTTGCAACAAGCAAAAACAGGTGAATGTTTACACTACAATAAACCCAGAAAATGAAAACCATTCAAATCACACACAAGTTGATAGCAAAAAATGTAATGTAATTGCATTTATTAAATTAAAAACAGAAGTGCCAGCATACTCACCAGGGTAGTAAAAATATAATGGTAGTACTCTGTCATCATACCCATGGCCAGGGCCTACAGGGGAAAAAGAACAGTAACTAAAAATCAAACATTAATAGCTTAAAAAGCCTTTTACTCCATTCATTTCATTCCATTTTTTATTTTGCTTTTATTGAACCTGTATAGTCACTTTAACACTAACATCTCATAGCTGGCCAGGAAGTCAGTCGAGAGAAAAAAAGTTTCACATTAAAAGAGACCAGACCAATTTGAATAGGATGGCCAGGTGGGGTTGGTGATCCATATATTGAATTATTATTACACACAGAATGAGATGGTGTCATCTAATCTGCCACCCAACCAAGCCCTGAAGGAGACATTTATGTTAAAATAAGAGTAACAGGAGAGTAATAGCTCTTTTACAAATGCTCAAATGACACATTTGGAAAGAGGATTTTTGAGAAAATATTTTTTCACACATGTTGTACTGATGTGATTCTGTTTATTTCACAGCTATCTCTCTCTATGTGAAGAGGCAAAAGAAGAAAAAAAACATGAAACGTTCCCATGTCTTTGTTATTTTCTGTGAGCACACTATTACGGGTCTTTACAGTCGAGAAAACGAGTTGCCATCACGAAGTATTGCAGATGGAGAGGAAGTGAATTGAGCTGCTGACACAGAGTATATGTTTTGTTGTGCCTACCAAGTATTCACCATCAATAAATAATAATTCTTGTTGCTTCCCGTAGATAAACAAATATATAGAGAAATCAAGCAGTGTGATGTGCGAGAAGACTTCAATTCAATACGAACCCCCACCATTCTCATAAATAATGTGCCTCTGTTAAATGAATTTAACATGCCTGTGAGCAGAATTAGACTTTCTAATTAAAAAACCTTTATTGTACAATGGAGAGCATCCATTATGACGGGTCAGTAGTAGAGATCTAATATTCTACTGAGAGATTAAAGATGCACAGAGCAGAAAGACGGTATTTGAATCATTTGCATCGGTGCTTAAAGAGAGGAAGAGTGAGAGTGGGACCACATATAAACTTGTTATTTTAAATATGTATATATACATAATGAATGAACCATATTATATATATTTAGTACTGAGACTGTGTTTCTATGAGTAGAAAACTATGTACATTTTGGGAATGCAGTTAATTCAATTTAATTCAATTCTAAAAATGCTTTAATACAATTACTCATTGTATACACAAATGTAGCAGACTGTTTCATAAACCTAAGTGCTGTTAGTATTCACATGCTGAACTTAAAAGGTGAGGACTATGGAACACCAAAGTATTCAATTTTAAACAAATAAAGAAGATATTATGAAATAAATTATGATATGACTAAATTGTGTAAGTATATAAATGAATCAACAATTTGTGAAACAATTGCAGAGGTGATTAAAACTCAACATATGAATATCGACCCAGTTCAAAAGTCTGTTTTCGTATCATATTGGCATTTATATCAATGACACTTTTATTTCATGTCAGGTTTTATTTCATGTCACTTCAATTCATGTTTAATAATTTCAAAGACTACTGTTTAATTTATATTTTTACACAATTTCTTCATATTACTATAAATTTCATAATTATTCATGTATCCACTCATTTAACATTTATCACTTCGGAGCGCCATCAATAGTCCCCCAGGTTCAGTTTTTGCAGTGACTCAAATCAACTATCATGGCTCATTAAGCTGAGCTCATACCTGTTTTAGGATCCAGGCAGCCATCTCATGTCCACAATCAAAGATGACATGGAACTCCTTTGCCTTCTTCATCTCCTTCAGAAGTGGCTTGGCGTCCTTGGTCTCTGTGGGCAGCTGTCGGATCTTCAAACGAATGTTATATCGTGACGGTGCCTTTATCAGCTCCTGCAGTCGAATGAGACCTGCAGACAAAGAGGATACATATAACATGAAAGAGGAATTTCAAAAGATGCAGCAACATAATGTGTTTGATCTCCTGCCATTTTGAAGTATCTCTGATTCTGAGGAGACCACAAAAACCAAATGGATTCAGGTTTTCTCAGCAGAAAAAGGCTCATATGCATGGCTTCCTAATCCAGAATCTATTGATCCTCCTACTCATGCTTGGCAAGCAAACAGACTGCTACAGACCTATCAAGAGAATTTAACACCAACCCAGCACATTGCACTCTTTTGTACCAAAAGCACAAAATGGAAAGAACCTCGATCTGCACCCGCCTACAGAAACTTTCAATCCTACAGAAGCCTCCCAAATGTTGAGACACTCTCGTCTTCCATGATGCCATACAGTAACATGGAATAGGTTCAATTTTAAACTGATGGAAAGCCGTGGTCAATCCTGCCTCTCCTGTCTCTCTCACACACACTTCAGATGTGCTCTGATGAGAGAGCCTCTGTTTGCCTAGCTTGTACTTGCCCCTAGGGAGCCTGATGCCGCCATCACATATTGAGCTACAATCTTCACCTTTCATTTCTCGACCACACGCTCAGGTAGAAAGCTCTCCGGGAGATACTGTGATGAGATTACAATGAGTTTCTCCCTCAGTAAAGAACTTCAGAGTGCAGGGATGAAAGAGGCTGGATTGATGGGAGAGATGATTACTTGTCATGGGTATAAAAATGGATGGAGCAGCGAGGATAGTTTGAGAGGGAACTGGAGAGAGATAGGATTTTTTTTTTTTTTCAGTGGAACCACTTTAAGATAGCTCAGCCTATTTTTTATTTTGAAATGAAGTGCTGGGTGAGCAGTTTAATGGTCTTACTGTGAGTGGGACTGGGTCTCCCTGAAGCCTATAGAAAGATTGGTGTGAAATAGGAACATGCAGGTCTTGTTGTGAAAGGAAACATTGTAGGGAGGAATACTGAACCTCCCAGAGCTTTCCCCAGGTAATCCCAATAGATCCCTACTCTAGGGCATGTCTGCGTCTCCTTGTTTTTGTTCGTACTGACACTTTGGGAGGTGTTAAGGAAGAAAAAAGAATCTGTCAAGGGAGCTCAACGTTTGGGAAACACTGTCAGTGTAGATGTTTGTGGGCTCTGGCTAATGCCTTCAGACTTTCCCCCTGGATCTTCTAACGGCTGTGCGTGAATATTTTATCCCCTCTGATAGTTTTTCCTGCCAGCCGTCAGATAGGCTCCAATCAGCATTGCGGGGCCCTAGAGCATGAAGCTGTGTGATTACAGCCTGGGACCAGGTGGAAGCGGTGGGGGGAAGCAACGCGGTTATGCAGCTGTCACACTTTTCAGGGCGTCAGGTGCGTTACAGCAGAAATGCTCCACAGTGGAGGCTCGAGCCGCTCCTATCTGACAGAGAGAGAGAGGCGAGAGGTCACCTTTTGGCATCTCACTGGGGCAGTTTCCTGGAGAATGAGGGTGTTAACGTACTGAGCTCCGAGGCAGGAAGCGACGAGAGGTCAAGGAGAGGAGTCTGAATTATGTGACAAGTGGGACGAGTCACTGGGATATCATCCGAGGTTAACGTACAGATGCTAGCATGCTGCAGGATTAGCTGTTTACTGACATCGACGCAACAGATGTAAAAGTAGAGATTTGGAGGTGGAAGTGAAACAGCAGTAAAACTGTTACTGGCAGTTGTTAAAAGGAACAGAAAAGGGTTTAAATTTCTATTTAGTGGTGCAATTTAGGATGTCAACTAAGACGATGTTCATTTGCCTAGAGTGGGGAGTGAATTCATAATGCAACCTGTCTAAAATTCAAACCTCCTCTCAACTCTATCTAATTTACTTACATTAAGTTGTCAACCACATCATGCCAAATAGCTCGTAAATTGCGAATGAGCATTTGAATATTGTTATCTTCTCTGGAGCGATTACACTTTACCTCATAAAAATATCACTGCACTCTGACTAAAATACGACTCGTGTTTTAAAATGCATATTACGAGCCACTCCACAAAGTCACAGCATAGACGAAATGGCTCACAGACACATTTGATAGCCACCCTCAGAGATCAAGTGTCTATGTGTGTTATTAATGGCTGTTGTCAGCCCCCACATACTACAATTCTGCATTGCATTAATTTGAAGAGACATTGGGTCATTCTGGGTAATGTGGTTTTCTTTTTTTCTATGCTGCTGCTCACTCTTCTGGAAGACTGACATGGGCAGCACCTGCAGGACTGGGGCAGAACAGTAAGCTATTGATTTCTGAATTAACTTGACAGGTTACAAAGCACACACTGAACTCTGAGCAGCAGTGCTGCTTTTTGTAGTTCACCTGGTACCTCTTGTTTTCCTGGACATTTTAGGGTGTAAAGACTTCAGGTTGTAAACACTGTCACACTCATCATGCAAAACAAAAGCACCACTGGAAGATAAAGACAGACACCAACTGTACCTGTACCTGTGCTGTCGTCGTACACCACCGTGACGGTTCTCCATTTGAAGAAGTGCACCAGATCGAGGATGGCTCTACTGAGGGAGGAGAAGTCGGGGTACAGGCTAACATAGTACGAGTCCCTGTTGTCTGACACTTGGTGCTTCCACTTGGTCTGGATGTGGGGCACTCCCAAAGCGTTGCAGATCGACTGGACCGCATTGGCTGACGAGCTGTGTGAGGGGCCAAAAATGGCCGCCACCCCGAGGGAAAGCTGATCACATGCTGGTGAGGTAGGAAGCAGAAGTAGCGACAAGTCAAGTGAATGTTTCTGTTGAGCTTTTAAATTTTACTGTTTCTAAATTATTTTGGTGTTCAGTTTTTTGCCCCACACGTCACCCCAAACAAACAATACCTAACCAGAACAGGTGCTTGATAATGATCACTGATAATCAATGTCCATGTGTGTCACACATGGACACAGATAAGCACATGGGGGATGAGTACACATTTCTGTCAATAGTTTACAATATTCCACCATAAGGAAGAATAAGACTGCTAGCAAGGAAAACATGGATATAAAGTGTCAAAATTCAATTTAATAAAATTGGCTTTGTAAATGTTTTATAAGGAAGGAAATGCTTTGTTAGACCTCAAGGATACATACATTGAGTTTTGGTGAGTAACACGTCAACAGCAACTTTATTTACAAGAAAACCCCACAATGTACCGTCAGTGTGAATAACAATCTGCTGCAAGGACACTGGCAAGCTTTTTACCATTTCATTCAACTTGGTAAACTATAGCCTATCATAAAAATATATTGTCAAGCCTTTGTGGATGTTCTGACGGTATAAGCTGTATTGAGTGTTTCAGTGACTGTGTCCCAAATCACTACCTCGTTTCCTCAATCACTACTCCTTTCAAAATAAACACTGAATAATTTACTCTATAGTGTGCAGTAAATAGAGATTACAGACACATATTAATCACACAGCTGTAGAGCTGCTATAATTTTTGGATCTATCAAATGTTACGCATAACAATATGGGGATTGAAAGTAGTGTCTGTGCCATGCCCACTAATCCTTGAGGGCTCTATACGGTATTGTGCATACATTTCACACTCAAATAAATTAACAGACAGCAAACACAGTGTACTATATAGTAAACAGGAATTAATTTCAGACACAATGAATGTCTAAACTGACTTTCTGTGTTTGACTCCAATCTTTGGTCGTTCACGTTCAGTTCACATAATCTGTGAGCTGTTACAAATAATAGCAAACATTTTTAATGATTTGCAGAAACTTCATACTCAAATGAATGTCCTCTTTTAAAAGTGGAGCCATTTGCACTACCTTTGTTTCCTCAAAACCTGTTAAAGGACCAGTGTGCAGGATTTAGTGGTATCTAGAATATTGCAACCAGCTGAAACCCCTTAACTCAACCAAGTGTGAAACCCTGTCTAGAACCAGGGTTTGTTTTATCCATTCTGGGCTATGTAGAAAAATGGCGGTTCAACATGCGGCCTCTGTAGAGAGGACCTGGCTCATTCTAAGGTAACGAAAACACAACTATTCTTATTTTCAGGTGATTGTACACTAATGAAATCATATCTATGCATATTATATTCCATGTATGCAAATATATCCCTCTAAATGTTAACACACTGGACCTTTAAGAATACATTTCTTAAATGCGTTGGAGACCTTCCCATGCCACCTAACTCACCTTTCCTGGAGGCCTCAAAGCTGTCGAAGATGTTTATTCTCTGGATGTCATAGGTCAGCGTGGTGTTGGGGAGCAAGGTGCGGTTCCTGTTGATTGTGTTCAAGGCAAATTTAAAGGCTAGTTCCTCTGCTCCAGAGGGGCCGCTCTCAATGGATTCAAATATTCCTCCTGAGGGTTAAGAAAAACAAAACAAAAAAAATAAAATCAGCCGAGAACCCTCTGAATAGTCACTTCCTCCTCCTCAAATTGCAATAGATTCCTTAACACGAGTAACATTCAAATAAAGATCGATACGATGCAGGCAATTACAGCCCAAGCAGTGCTATCATTTTTAACACTTCAGTATTTGTAGCCTCATATTATTGATGCTATTGTGTTCACAGCTTTACACAGCTCAGTCACATACTGATATGAAACTGATTAACGGTGCAGATTTGGCGATTGGATCTCATATGATTTGCATTCTGTGGCAGTCGTCTGTGTAATTATAGGCAATCAGTTACATAGGGAGGTGAGTTCAGGGGTGGGTGCCCTTCTTTAACTCCCTCACTCAGGTTCACTCTACCATTTTGTCCCATTGATTTCAGTGATTCTCAATTGAGAGAAGAGCAAAGAAAAACAGGAACGTGGGAAGCAGACAAATCGTAGCAAAGAGGATAAAGAAAGAAATCCGCATTTAAAGTGGTATAGAAAGAGATGCAAGAACAGACAAACAGAGACACAGAAGGAGAAGGCCAACCAAGTCAGAAATAAAAAATTTTTTTAGATTACACTCAGAAGATCAAATTATTATATCTGCATCATAGTTAAATGTTACTTTTGTTGTTTTTTTTAAATGGAAGAGCTTCCTGAGTTTCATGCTGTGCCTGCCTGAGAAATCTTTTTACCGTTTGGATGTATATGAATAACACCTTGTGATGCTCATTAATTGACAAAGTAAAAGCCTCAACACTAAATACAAACAATACTTGCTGTTACACCATGCTGTGCGAGCCAGACAATATAATTACTGCCGCAAAGTAAGGTGTTGTCAACTTAAAACGGCTCCCTTCAGACTTGTCAATTATTTTGAGCTGAACAAAAACGATTAAAGCTCCAGATGGTCCATCAATGTGGTTCGGAATCCTAAACAAAAGGGAAGCAACGTTCGAACCGACCCGCTATAAACGTGTCTCATTCAAGATGTCCAGACATTATTTACCTGCGTTCGTTTAACAAGCACCAAAATGCTTCAGTAGATTTAACTCCAATCCAATTTACATTTTTTTTTAAAAATGGGAACATTTTCAAAATATATACATTTTTGCTCCATCTAGTCTACAAACCAGTCAGCTGGGACATATTTCATTTTAATGGGGTCAGTGAGAATGATGGCAGTATTTTCACACAACCATCATTAGTATGAAGTGAGGTGATGTTGTAGGTGGTGCAATATGCTGTAGCATATTAAAGTTTCACAAAGAATACTTCTACAGCTAAAACAGATGTAGAGTCAAACTACTTTCAACTTCCAAAATAAACAATCGAGCCCACGTTACGAAAGCTAAATCGTGAGAAAGCTTTACAGAAATCCAACTTAAAAGAGAATGAATGAGGGAGGGTGGGGGGAGATGAAAGGGGGTTGTGAGAGCGGCTCTGAGAAAACACTCTCGGAGTCAAGAGCAGGGTTCAGTAGTCCATCCACGGCTTTCGTCCTCCCAGAGGACAGAGAGTTGGTTTGACGAAATCTTGAAAACTAAAAAAAAAAGTTTAAAGCCTGTTTATCGATTCAATTACAGAGAGTGAGGGAAAAGTGGGAATGGAAGAGAAAAAGACAGACAGAGTGGCACATTGTTTAAAAGGAGTGGAGAAAGAGCTGTACAATAATAGACACAGCGGCTATAAATAGTGCCTGGCCATGGCAGGCAGTGATAGAAAAGGAGTGCAGGAGGGCAAAGAAAATGTCATTAACTTAGGGAAGTGAGCTTTATCACTGTCACCATTGTACAGCCATATGTTGTTCTTCCTTTATTTTATAGCGTTTCTTTTATATATAGTCCGGCAGAGAACTGAAGGAGGTAAAATGGAGGAAGAGTGAGAAGGATGTTGCAGTGTGAGATGAGAGGTCGGTGTAAACCTGCAAAGAACGTGTTTTGTGATTCACTGTCAATGGCTGAGCTAAAATAATGAGGTTTTCATGTGTTAGTCTTCCTGCTATACAGCAATGTAATGTGAACATGCTGCTATTCGTTGCTATTCGTGGCATTTCATTTCACTGAAATAGCACATTAATCTTCAAAAGAATGAATACCCGAAAATCACCATTAAAGATGATTGGAATCGTGTCAGTCTGACCTAATAGTTAATTATTACTCTTTTGCCCTGAGGGAACAGCCTTAGCTCTACAGGCCTGTTCAACAAGCACACAAGTATTAAGTTATGCTCATCCGATTTCTTTTGCACACGGTATGCCTTGCACATGCCGGTTTAAAAAACAAAATCATACACTTTGGAGCAGAAACATTAAATTAATTCCACAATGGGCTACATTTCATATTTCCAAGGAGGATGTGAAGCATTACATTACGCTGCAAAATGATAGCATGCAGAAAATAAAATGTTTATTGTTTGATTTGCTTGGGATACATCCACTGCTATTGTTTACACTAAATGATGAATCCGACACAAGATTTCTTCCCAAAGTGGACTTTTTGCATTTTGGAAAACACACTGGTATTGGGTGTAATGTATATTTATCTTGCTTAAAGTCTAATAACACTCGGTTTTGTATCATCTATCTGTCCTCACTACTTGGCGTTGGGGTCCGTCTGATTGCAGGTGTGTGAGTTACGGCTGAGATAATCAGTGTGTGTGTGAATTATGGAGCCGCCATCATTGGGACTGGTGTGAATTATAGTGCAAATGAAAGCTCTGAGTGAGTTATGAGCTGGATAATCACCATGACGAGAAAACAGGCCTGCTGATCTGAGTGTCTTGGTGTGTGCATGCGTGTGTGTGTATATGTGTGTGAGAGAGAGCCTGAGCTGAAAGTGGAAATGAAAAGGCAGTGTGGGAGGGCGCCTCCTCTATGTAAATTTGACTCCCTTTTAATGTTTGTTCACAGTTAATCAAGTGCATTTTAGATTGAACGTTATAAAGTAACTTGGTCATTGGCTTATTTTCGGAAATTAGCTCAATTTGAAATTAGTTCCTGTTAATAGAAACTGTTCACCTCTGAAGGATACATCATGAATAACAGTAATGGACAAACCTTTAAATTGTGAATGGTGATCAAAATGTGTATCACTTTTGATTTAACATATTCTACGGCTCACATGCTGCTCTGAACAAAGATTAGAACTAACACCATATTTCTGTGACTGCAGTCCACTGTAAATACTAACAGGAGTATATTCACTACCAAAAAAAAAGGGGTAACTCACTAAACTATGAATGAAAATATAATTAGCTCTCTCTACTCAACGATGCTGTTGTACACTGGGAGATGACAGATATGTTGCCATGGTGACTCATGCGTCTATGCTATGGCTGAGAGGCATCGGCAGTTTTGGAATCTGTGCAGCTGATTGGCGGAGGACGTTGTGATAGTGCATACGGCCTGTCTCTGTGACTAATGACCAGCAGTGCAGCTGCAGGATGGTGGTGGGCTGTAGGGTGGGTGCCATGGCAACCAGAGAGCAACCCCGTCGCTAGGGCAAGTGGCCCAGGTAGTGAAGTCACTCAGTTAGGCTTTAAGACCTCCACCTACCACACCCCAACACCGTGGCCTGTTTCTGTCTCATTCCGTCTTTCAGCATTGGTGCTCGGAGCCAATAGGCAGGAGGCAAAAGTGATGGAAAAGCTCCGTAAATATCCCCGAAATTCCCAGTGGGAGCGCTCCCTGACATGTTTGGCGGTGAATGGGACATGATGCATGAAGGCCTGCAGAGAGTCGCCGCCCCTGGTCATTAATCTGGAGCTCCCCTTGTGGTAGACTGACCTTCCTATGCTGCACAAGGGCCAATTCTCTCCCTGAAGATCTCCAGAAATCTGTCCGTGGACATCAACTGTGCAGGATGCTTACCGGTGCTATGGTATCACACAAGCAAACCATCATCATTGTAGTCTGTATGAATCACCTCTGAAAGCTATTTTCAGTCCTGGTGTGTAATCTTATTTCTCATAGAAAATTCTTTAAAAGCAGAGGTCTGACATTTTATTTATTCTATTCTACATGTATGGGCAGAGACAAACGCTGCTTTAATACCTTCAGTAGCAGGTGATATATAACAGTGAATTATTTGGCCAGCTACAGCTTCTCTGGCCTTGGCTCAGAGATATTATCTTGCAGACCCTTGGTATTGTAGGAGCAAGATAAGGAAAGCAGTAAACTTGGTTTATGGAGGTACATTTTCTCAGAAGATACTTGATATAGATCTTGGTTGAGTTTAGTAAACTTATTTAGAAGCCAGACTTGATCTTAAATCAAATGAGAGAAACAAGGCCAAAAACAACAAAAAGCAAGTGAAATACGTGTTTCCCATTAAAGAATAGACAAGAAATCTGTAAATAGGAATTCAGGTGTTATAAAGCATGAAAGACCAAGCTATAGTAACTTGAAAACAAAAAACTGCTTAAAACAAATCAAATAAGGATAATAACAAGCCAACCAATACAGTGAACCAATAACGTAATCAATCATTCTGTTAGAATTAGTGAAACTGAAGATGAGACCATTAGAAAGCAGCTTATGTTATCAACAGTTTAGCTGTTGTTATCTGACTTGTTTGGCTTGTTGTGTGGTTTTTCTCCAGAATAGAATCACTCCTGTCACCCCAAAGCCTCTTGACACTAGACTGGACTGTCACCTGCCACTGCTGGATGCTAAGCCTCAGGCTGACTCACACACTTGAACATACACGTGTGAACACACACAATCACGCACTCCAATGATTGAGCCTAAACAAACCTGTCAGGTAAGAAACAACTGAGACCTGGGGGAAATGTGAGTGATGTGAGAATTTAAAGCCCATGCCTGCGGCATTCCGAGATAACAAAGTTCAGTTAGACTTGGGGTTAGAATTAGCTATACCAATGCCAAAAGTACAATCTCATCAATCTCTTATAATGAGCACACACACAGTCTTCAATTAGAAATGTGTGCCACCACCCTCGTCCCTGACCCAGCT